GTTTTGGGGTATATTATACCATAGTTGTAATAAGGAACCCCCAAACTAGTGTAGGTAATTATTAAGGCCCCTAAACTAAACCGCGCAACCCTCCTTTAGTACGGCATAAAGGGCAGGCTGCGAGTTGTTCAGGGCACGGGGTGCAGGGTTTGTGTTGGATCTAGGATTTCGCGTGTCCGGAAACCTGCGGGCCCCTAGTAATTACGAGTGTAGGGCTTAGGGTTTAGATTCCTTGTTATGGGCAATGCAGGATTTATAGCATCAACCGTAGTACACCATCAGTGATAATGATCAGCTTTAGGTTTAGGGTTTAGGGTTTGTGGCCAAGCACGCGGCCCTCACCTTGCTACCTCAATGGTAGGACAGCAAGGCCCAAACCAAGAGAATCCGTATAATTTTGGGGGCCTAAGTAATTAAAATACGGGTCTGGGACATATATATATATAGTGTAATCAGAATAAAGAGCCCCCTATATTACGAAGACCGAATACGCCCGCAGGGACTTTCATTTTGCTTTGGCCGCTGTACCCCAAATCCTAAACCCTAAATCCTAGCCCCTAACACCCAAATCCTAAACACTGAACCCCAAATCCTAAACCCTAAAATCCTAAACCCTGAACCCCAAATCCTAAACCCCGAACCCCAAATCCTAAACCCTGAACCCCAAATCCTAAACCCTGAACCCCAAATCCTAAACTAAACCCAAACTCCTCGCCCCTAAAACCCAAATCCTAAACCCTGAACCCCAAGTCCTAAACCCTGAACCCCAACTCCTCAACCCTAAATCCAGCCCCTCACACCCAAATCCTAAACCCTGAACCCCAAACCCCCGGAACGCTGGGTCTTTTCGGCTACAGGTGATATTTGGTCGCTGGTTCGGTTTAGTGTTTAGGGTTTATGGGTCGCTGGTTCTGGCATGGTCCTTTTGCAACAGCAGGACAGGTTAATACCCAGCCCCAGCCAAACTAAGTCGGCCGCGGGCCACCAAAACTTGCGCAGTAGACTGAATTGATGATAAGGATCTTCTATACTATAAGATGTACAGCAGACTATGCAGTAAAAAAAACCTTCTTCCGTGACAAAAACCCAATCAGCCATGAACACCCGAAATCAAGGTGTTGTCGCCCTTTACCAGCTCATGTTCTCAATTGGAAAGCCTGAGCTACCCTCTTAAGGCGCAAGCATCAATCCGTTCGCAGAAGGCAGGCCTAAAACCGAATGCCCAAACCTTCAGCAGTGAAACCGAAGGCCTACACCTTCGAACCAAATTCGAAGATACGTCCAAGGCTGAATTCCTGAATCCGGATACCCGAACATAGGGACCTCATAATCCTATGGGGCTTTCGGAAACTGTTGTATGATAAGGGTCCCTCAAACCCCAAGGCAACACGAATCCCAAAGACACAAGGGCCCCTTGCGGCCCGGACCGGCCATGTCTGGCGGGGTCGCCATTTCGGCCATGGCGTTCGGAAGGGACCCACCAAAAGCCCCAGTGGCTCTTCTGTTTGCTACATACGGCTTGGAGTCTTTTGGGGGGCACTGAGAAGGCTCTTGGGAGCTCAAGGAATTTGTGGCTCTGTAGCGCCTTGGGGCATCTAGGCCTGCATTGGGGTCTGGGTTTGCTCCTAGGTTCTGCTGTGCCTTTGCTTGTACTGAGCCCTGTCTGGCTGTTAAGTCGGTGAGAGTGCATAGAAATTCCAATAAGTGCTTCAGTGCATGGTAGGTTTTCCTCGCGCATCTTTTGCAACTTATACCAAGCCCAACCAATCTCAGGTTCACTCTACTTCATCAAGCTGTGGCATTCGGAAAGCTTTGACCCAGCATCCACCATGTAGCGTATCGTTGTTCGGCAGGGAGAACTTGCAACCGTGTAGTTGAAATCCTTCACGGGTAGGCCTACGTCCACCGCCTGCACCAGAATCTCTTCGAAGGTTGCTGTCGGGTAGCAGGGCACATTGGATCGGTACGTTTGGATCCCGAATGTTGATGACATGTACTTGTGGTCGATGCTGTTGTTTGCTTTGGCGACATCCTCGAAAACACAATCTCCTTGCGCCGGAGAAACCCAGACACCCTGTCCCAATCGAGCGCTGTAGCACAAGTCCTTCGACTTGAAAGAGAACTCGCAGCCGGCCAGTTTGTCGGTATTGAAACTCCCCAAGGCCGCATCCTGCTGGAACTTGACTTTCCACCACTCCGGAAGCACCGTTCGGGCTAGTAAGGTTTCAATCCGGTCAGAGAAGCGCGAGCCGGCTGCACGCCCATGCCAAAGACGGGCCCCCCCCGGAATTCGGATTAGAAGGTTCTTGCCGTCAGAAATCCATCTGTAATCATACTGGTCATCAAAAGTCCCCAAGTCAGCACCTCGCAACCAGCTCGTGGCTTCCCACAACCATACGACATTAATCGCATGCTTCAGATTGCTGGATTAGGCCTGATGATGCGAAGGCTGCTGCTGCCGAAAAACTGTGCCCTAACATTTGTTGAGATTCGGGGGGTGCCCTTCAAAACCACAGCTAGGCGGGCCTAGACGCAACTCGCCATTCGCCGGTACTGCTTGCTACGGCCACTGTTTTATGATATCGAACATGCGAACATGCGCCTTCAGCCAGGGACATTTGCAGTCTTACGAGCTGCAACAATGGCAGACTACCTCCTACTGAATGACATGAGGCTGCTGCGAAGGACTGAGCCCGGGGCTGGCGATGAGGAGCTCTCCGGTCTCATAGAAAATATAGAAGTACTCCTCAGCATCAACATCATCATCCTCGTCATCATCGTCATCCAAGTCAGACACAGATAGAACTGCAGGCTCCGCGAAGTGGATGCAAGCTCGGGGGAGCTCTTCTGACGGCAGTTCACTGCAGGGCAGAGACAGATTGCATGTGCATGCATCAGGCGATCCGGGCGAGATGGTCAGGGACTCCCACTTGATGAGGTCATATCCACAGCGACTGCCCCTAAACTCGGCCAGGGTATGCTCTGATGCCTCGCTGGCATCGCAGGCACAATATGATGTGTTGCGAATGGTCGCGCTGTACACAATTCGTGAGGAGCAGCGCGGCTGCCCAGGAGTCGTTGCGCAATTGCTTGTCAGGCTGAAGTGCTTTGGGTCCGGATTCTTGGCTTCCAGTCCAAGCCATTCCAACTTGCATTTGGCGGGCGGCAAGGCGTGAGCAGAAGTCCACAGCAGCTTATACCGACCAAGCACTCCTTCTGTGTTGCCACGGACGAGCATGGCCTGCCCTGCTCTGCAGGTGTTGTTGTCGGCATCTACAAGGCCTGCAGTCAGTCGGGTGATATAATAGACTGAATTTCCGGGGCGACACAGCGGCCGGGGCGCACACAGTCCCGTCACGTTCGGGCCGCTCCAGCTAATGCGGCCAAAGAAGCCACGCAAACACCGGCAAGCCGGACCCGGAGCGAAGTTGCTGTGGAGGACCCGGCACGGCACAAGCTTGCAGGCCCCTTTCGCTAAGGAACCATCCCAACTGATGCTGCCTCGGAACCCGTCCTTGCACTGACAGTCCGGCCCAGGTTGGAGGTTTGAGTTCCGAATGCTACACGGGGCGGGCTTGCAGCTCCCATGGGCTGTGTCGTCTGTCCACACAATCTCTCCAAGGAAACCGTCCAGACACATGCAGGCCTTCCCCGGCTTACCGTTGGAGTTGGAAATGTTGCATGGAGCCGGGAGGCACGTGCCGCTCTCCCATTGGCCGCTCCATGTGATTTGGCCAGCAAAACCGTCGGAGCATTTGCACTCCAACCCTGGCTTGCGATTGGAGTTTTGCTTCCTGCACGAGGCTGCCTTGCACGACCCAGTTGGATCTGCACCCTCCCACCGGACGCTTCCATAATACCCATCCGCACAGCGGCATTCTTTGCCTGGCTTCATGTTCGAATGCTCGATGTTGCACGGGGCCGGCACACAATTGACTTCAAACGCTCTACTCGCGCTCTTCTTGTACTTCCTCCATGCACGTTCCTGATCAAGCAGCACTCTGGAGCCGTTGAGTTGGAATCCATCCTCGCAACCACAGCCAAGGCCCTCCTTGCGATTGGAATGTGACCCAAGGCACTGCAGCGGAGAGCAATGACCATACGCTCGTGATCCGCGGAAATAGATATCGCCCCAGAACCCCTCGTTGCACTTGCATGCAGGCCCGAGCTTCATGTTCGAGTTTGAAATTGCGCATTCTGCAGGCTTGCAGTCCCCCGAAGCTTTGGAACCCGACCAGGTCACCTCACCGACAAAACCATCGCTGCAGTGACATCCTGGCCCTGCCCCCGTGGAATTGGCAATGTGTGCACATGACGCAGGCCCACACTCTCCCAGCGGTGTTTGGTTGTTCCAAGTGATCTCGCCTTTATATCCCTTCAGGCACGCGCACGCTTGGCCCGGCTCTTGGTTGGAGTTTGTGATCGTGCAGCGTGCCGGTGTGCAGGCGCCGCTCGCGTGGCTTTTTTGCCACTTGATGTCACCCTGGTATCCGTCCAAGCATCTACAGCCGAGGCCAGGTTGGCGGTTGGAGTTCACAACGTTGCATTCAGCTGCTTGACAGCTTCCTTGAGGCACTGCGCCGCGCCATCGAATGTTGCCTGTGAAGCCATCTTGGCACTCGCACTGCAGACCTTCGCCCACGCTGTGTTCAATGCTTTCTGCACAGCCTGGTGCCGGTACACATGAACCGAGGGGTTGCGAACGGTTCCAGCTTATGTTGCCGGCGAAGCCGTCCCTGCACTTGCAATCTGTCCCCATGCCAATGGAGTTTCGGATGCTGCTGCAGTTCGCAGAGCGACATGGACCAACGGCCTCAGATTGGTTCCAGCTCACCTCACCGGAAAAACCGTCTTTGCACTGGCACTCATGCCCTGCTTTCCTGTTTGAGTCTTCAACGTAGCATGGAGCAGGCGTGCACGTGCCACTGACCTGGGTACCATTCCAAGAAATGTCTCCGACGAAGCCGCTGCTGCATCTGCATTCGGGACCTGCCTTCTGGTTCGAGCTCTTAATGGCACATGAAACTGGAGTGCAGACATCCTTCGCCAACATGTTCTGCAACTCCTCTCCTTCGGCCACGAGTCCACCCTCGTAACCATCACAGCAGCTGCAGTTGTTCTTGGAACAGCCACACACATGCTTCAGATCCTGGAGCTCCACCATCAACTCCAGCATCGTCCATGACTTCTTGCTCAGGCCTTGCATGCGCGCTGTTCGATGAATCAATCTCTCTTCAAAACCCAGCCGGAATAGCAGGCTGATCCAATCCCCGGACAACGATTTGACTACAGGGGCCCTTGTCTATAGTTTCAGTCATACGTACCTTGCAAGTGCATGTGCAATTCTACAGCCCCAGCTATCCTGCAACGCCCTGTGTGTACCTCTGGGGCTCCAAGACAATTACGACCTGCGACGAACCGGGGCTTCTTCGCAAGGAACTAGCTTTAAGTAACAAGCTCTGTAATAATGGCAAACACTTATCGCGTCTGGTCCCTGCTGCAACTTCAACTAAGGTCCTTAAGAACGAACCAGATTCACGGATCCCGACCTCGAGCGGTCAGACTGCAATTGGTGGCTGCCACGGCCGGAATCTTGAGGATGGCTGGCTTCTCATCGAACTGAATCAATGAATGCTCAAGAACGTAATCCGTGCAGTTGGCAAGGCTTTCTGGATCCGTCTCGCAACAGAGCTCGATACTCCTTGCATCCAAACGGTTGTTGGTCAAAATCTCAGGCATCCCTAATGAGTGTGCCACATGCACCATGCATACACTGTCTTCAGGCTGCAAAGCCGAGCTTCGAGGTTTGCGCGGACTTGGTCTTCACGTGGAGACTAGGATCTTGGCCCAACAGCAACACATAGTTCTTGCGTTTGCTTTCGGCAGCGAAAGCAGGCAACATGTGTGCCGATATTCCCCTCCTTGGATCGGGACCGAACGGAGGTGGGCGGTATTTCCCTGTTCCCTTCACTGCCGCACTAGACGAACACATGCCGAAGCCTAACGCTTTTCCATAAAGCCAGTTGGATTTCCGTCCGACCCATCCGCCGAGGCTCACTTCCAGAATCTGCGGGTCGACGAAGAGCTGCTCGGTCGCAAACTGAAAGATGCCGGGGAACAGGCCCAACAGCATCACGATAGCAACCTCAGCTGGACATCGAGATGGTCAGGGCAACTAGACGAGTCTCGCGATCTGTATGGGCACAGAGCCCCCCATTGCACTGGTATAATGCCGGCCAGAATCACAGCAAAAGCCTTTCTGACAAGCCCATCTGAATTCAAGGGTTAGCGTGCGAAGGTTGGTCGATGGCGAGACGATATTACACTACTGCTTACTGAGTTCACTATGTCAGGTTCCCCTCATTGCTACAGAAGCAGGGAAAACTAGTGACAGCTAGCAATCAACATTATTCCTTGCGGTTCTTCTCATAGCGATACACAGTACAGACTTGCCCTATATTAAATCCCAGGCCGGCCACGACGTGCATCAGCGGCGCGAGGCGCTGGTTGGGGAATAGCGCGCGGCGGGTGCCCATCTTGACCAAGAGGCCCAGGTCCTGCGATCCAACCGCGCTTTGATAATCCAAAATAGGAAGCCCTGCCAGCTCTGTCGAAATGTATCGACATGGAACGTTAGATGACAGATCTCGGGTTTTCCAGTGAGTCTAGGATCAAAAATGACTTTTTTTTGTGTCAAAATGTCTTTT